CACATGCTCACGCTTTAACCCTTCACAACAAAAGTACTGCACAGGTCAGCGCACATTCCTCTGCATGAAAGCGCCACCGCACATACGCACCAGCAGGGGGAGCTCCGCCTGCGCTCCCCCGCGCGAAATCACAGCCGCGGGTTCAGATAACACACAAAACTTCCTCGTGTGTGAATAGTTTTGCAGTCAGCTAAGGCGGCTTCTTATCGTCGGGAGCTCGCGGTGCCGTGTTGGAGCAGGAGACCGGCGGCGTGTGTGCGGGCGGACGGGCGGGCGGGTCTGGGCGCGCTCAGAGGAGGCAGGGACGCGGTGAGGGGCGGGGTGACTTTGTACGGGCATGGTAATTATCAGGGAAATGATAGGTTTGTCCGCGTCTTATGGTGTTGTTGTGTCACAGAGGTGGACTGAGGTGACACAGCGAGTCTTAAAGGAAATGTTTAGAGTTTTTATAAAGCTTCTACAGTTACACCCGAACCTGCAGATAAAGACACGTCCAAGTTGGTCTCAGAGTCAATTGTTGTCAGTAAAAGCTGCATTTGATTTGCGCAGATTTACCGTTTTTATGACGTTAAATCTAAATCTCACGTACAGTTCCTTTAAGTTTTGTGTGCAATAATATTCTCCTGACTTCCTTTGCATAAAAGCGTCTAACCCTGTAGTTCAGATCTGTACAAACACGCTCGGAAATGTGCTTCTTGTGTTGGTTTGTCACTTCAGATTTCGGTCTTTTTGTCAGTTCATCTGGAAGTGTCTAAAACTTTGAGCAGGATCCTGTTCTTAAAACACAAATCTCAAATCTGATCACGAGGTTTCTCAGAAAATAAATCACAATTAGATGTTTTTCCCAAAATCCCCCCCAAATTTTTTTATTAACTATTTTTACTTCTTCATAATTCCTGTGTCCTGCAGGTGTGTCACACCTCACACACGCTCTGTGTGATAAACTACTACAGTATATTTACCAGAGGTGGGACTTGCAAATCATGACTTAGACTCAAGTCAGACTTGAGTCACTATTTTTAGGACTTAAGACTTGACTTGATAAATTGGACTAAGACTTGAGACTCGACTTGGTCTTGAAAGTCAGTGACTTGGGACTTGACTCGGACTTGAGGCCTGTGACTTGAGAAGACTTGAGAGGCGCTTTTAAATCTGAATTCTTTCTATTCTGACCATAATGATTCACTCTAAGATCTTGTCCAGACACAAAAAATAGCCTTTATACAACTTATATAAATACTCGTATATAAATATACAATGACTTTTTAAGTACAGTTGACTTGAAGCTCAAAGCTGACGACTTGGACTTGCCTGTATTTGACTTGGGACTTGACTTGGACTTGTCAAAGATTTGAGACTTACTTGAGACTTGCAAAACAACGACTTGGTTCCATCTCTGATATGTACTATAGTATTTGTAATATTTGCATATGTCCTGCAGGTGTATCTCTCAGAGGGGGTATGTGATGTAGTACTACAGTATAAGTACTATAGTATTTTTAATACTTGCTCATGTCCTGCAGGTGTATCTCTCAGAGGGGGTATGTGATGTAGTACTACAGTATAAGTACTATAGTATTTGTAATACTTGCTCATGTCCTGCAGGTGTATCTCTCAGAGGGGGTATGTGATGTAGTACTACAGTACATGTACTATAGTATTTGTAATACTTGCTCGTGTCCTGCAGGTGCGTCACAAAGCCTCTCAGAGAGTTTACGCCATGAAGCAGCTGAGTAAGTTTGAGATGATCAAACGTTCAGACTCTGCGTTCTTCTGGGAGGAGAGACACATCATGGCCTTTTCCAACAGCCCCTGGATCGTACAGGTCTGCACACGGCACACATCTGCACACATCTGCACACATCTGCACACGGCACACATGTATGCACAATACACATGTGTTGACAGTATGTCACAGTGTGGTGCAGATCTGCTCTCCTGCAGTCGGGTCAGAGCAGTGAACCACCTGTAAATGTTCATCAACTGATTCATCTGTTTAAATCAGTGTCTCTGCTGTTGTGTTTTGTGTGTAACTATTAGATTAGACCGTTGGAACTCCGCCTGCAGCCTGGTGTTTGTATCAGAAACACATGACTGTAATCAGGCCGGTCCTGTGTGATGTCACATAGTACTTGGAGCTGCAGCACACACTTAGATTTAGACAGTTTTTGTCCAGAAATCTGCAAATGTACCTGGTTTGCACTAAAGTTACTGTAACGCACTTTAAAGTAAATGTAAAATGGACACATTTTTATAAAGTGCTGTTCCACCTTTAACATTTAAACACTTTACATCAAGGAACCACTCACACGTTCACACACACACGTTCATACACCAGTGCACACAGACGACAAACAGCCAACCTTCAGATCTGTGGACAAAAGCTCTACAAACTGAACTACTGTGGCCTCACTACTTGAAGCATTCGCTCTAGTTCTGTGTTTTCTTGTTCTGTGTGCAGTTGTGCTGTGCTTTCCAAGACGAGCGGCACCTGTACATGGTGATGGAGTTCATGCCCGGAGGAGACGTGGTCACGCTCACCATGAACTACGACGTGCCGGAGGCGTGGGCGCGTTTCTACACCGCGGAGCTGGTCCTCGCCCTCGACGCCATCCACTCCATGGGCTTCATCCACAGAGACGTGAAGCCCGACAACATGCTGCTGGACCAGAGCGGGCACCTCAAACTGGCAGACTTTGGCACCTGTATGAAGATGGACCAGGTGAGGGGACGTTCTAACCACCGCGAGACACACTGTGATGTGTTCTGTTAGAAAATCAGCTTCTATATCGTAATAAAATGAAAAGTGAATGTACCAGACCAATCCCAGTGTCATTTGTTCATTTTTTTTCAATATAAAACCAAAAGAAAACGAAAAAACAACCAGTTTTCTTCATTATTTGTCTCCAAAACCAAAATGAAAAAACTGGATAACAGATTTGTTTTTTCAGTTTTTCCATTTTGTGTTTAAATGAAAAATGGAAAAAAAAAAACAGATAGCGTCCGTTTCCATGACTTAAACTGCGATGCCGAACTTTTACATACACATATGGACTGAACCAGGACTAAACCGGTCTCAGTCCCAGTGTCAGTCCTGGTCTCAGTCCCAGTCTGGTCCCGGTCCCAGTCCCCAGTGTCAGTCCTGGTCTGGTCCTGGTCTCTGTCCCAGTGTCAGTCCTCGGTCTCAGTCTCAGTCCCAGTGTCAGTCCTGATCTCAGTCCCAGTCTGGTCCCGGTCCCAGCCCCAGTGTCAGTCCCTGTCTCAGTCCTGGTCTGGTCCTGGTCTGGGCCCAGTCTCAGTTCTGATCACCAGACAGTGTATGTGGGCGCACCTCCAGGCCTGTCCCAACAAACTGGTTCAGTTTGGTCCCGTCCTGTCCCGTCCTGGTCCCGTCCTGGTTCCGTCCTGGTTCTGTCCTGGTTCCGTCCTGGTTCCGTCCTGGTTCCGTGCAGCATCGCAGTTTAAGTCACTGAAACAGGAACCGGCTGTTGTCCGTAAACCGCTGCCCCCGCGACCCGGCCCCGGATAAACAGAAGTAGATGGATGGATCATTTAAACACAAAATTGAAAACTGAAAAAAAACAAATCATTATCCGTTTTTTCATTTTGGTTTTGGAGACAAATAATGAAGAAAACAGTTGTTTTTTAAATTTTCTTATTTTTGGTTTTATTTTGAAAAACAAATGAACGATGATACACTGATTCAGAATCATTAGCAGGATTTCGATATCGGCTTTAAAAAAAATCTGTTCAGCTGATATTGTTATTATTATGGTTCGACATAAATTCATGTATTAAAGCACAGGTGTCAAACATAAGGCCCGGGGGCCAGATCCGGCCATCCAAGACCTTTAATGTGGCCCTTGAGTGATTTTCTACTAAAATATTTTAATAATATTTTCTATTAAAATCTTGTTAATTTTCTGTGGTGTTTATCACAGCAGCGTCTCCAGCGTCTCTGTACGTGGCCCCTCCCACCAGAGCAGCACAAAATGAAGACTTGTCTCTTTCCAAACGCTCTTAAAGGACGATCGTTTTGACTGTTGACCGTGACACCCCTCATCAGAAAAATGTCCAACATGAGAAAAGTGGAGCCGAGTGCAGGATTTTACAACAAAAACTTGACTTATTCCTGTTTACATACAAGTTCATGTTAAAACTTTGTGCTGAAATTTTATTTTTCTTAAAGTTTCAGGTTGTTCATAATATTATAATATTTTGTAGAAAGAAATAATTAATCAATTAAAAAGATTTCTGTAATAGATTTGTGTTTCTCTGCACAAATATTTGAACTTATTGTTATTTTTGGGGTTTATATGACATGAGTTTTCTGATCCGGCCCCTTTGGGATCAAAGTAGGTTGGATACGGCCCCCGGACCAAAATAGAGTTTGACACCCCTGAATTAAAATCTCATAATGTTTGAACTTTTATTTATAAAAAACTGCAGTTCTGTTTAGTGTTTAAAGTCTCTGCGCTGGTATTCTTTGATATTGGATATCTGCAAATACTTAAAGCTGTTCTATCGAAATCAGTATTAGAACTGAAAAATCTAGAACATCACATCCCTTCAGCACTGGAGGCAAGTTGGGTGAAGTGTCTTGCTGAAAGACACATCATCAGTTTGCACTAGAGCCGCTCGTCCTCACTGTGGCACGTTGTTTTCTCAGTTCTCTCACATCCACGTACCAGCCGGCTCTGCTCAGCAAAACACATCTGCCTGTTGAGCTCATTAAAAATCTATTTTTAAATGTATTTATTTATTTAAATGTAAGTCGCGGCTGCATTTCCTTAAAAGATGCTGGTTCAATCCCGCACCGTCCTGCTGCCGTCCCTGCCGTTCCAAAGAGACAGGGAATCTTTAATCAAATCTCCAATTTAGGACTGGTTTACTGCGACTGTACACAGAGTTACTCACAGTACTCGTCTGGATCATGACCTCAGTGTGGAAGTATCACAGGACACTGCTCTAGTGCTCCCCCTAGTGGCTCACACGGGGATATCTGCACAGGATTTATTCTCCTCTTTGTTTTTTTTACTTTTACTTAATCCAAACCTAATCCAATCCAACTTTATTTGTATAACACATTTTATAAACAAGACAGTTTCGAAATGCTTCACAATGGAAAACATTTTACTTTAAAAAAAAAAAAAAAAAAAAAAATAAATAAAAAATCGGCTGAATTATAAAAATAATAATAAAAATAATAACATAATATAATAATAAAAAATAATAATATCAATGGAAAATTATAAAATCAATACATAAAAGCAGTACTAAAAATGGATAAAAACTATAAATAAATTAATAAAATAAATAAATAAATAAAACACTGAAAAAAATTATAAAATCAATACATAAAAGCAGTACTAAAAATGGATAAAAAATATAAATAAATTAATAAAATAAATAAATAAAACACTGAAAAAAACCTATAAAATCAATACATAAAAACAGTAATAAAAATGGATAAAAACTATAAAAAATAAAGACACAGAGGACCTCAGAGTGTGCGGGGGAGTAAATCTGGATGAGGTCCGAGACGTACTGCGGGGTCAGAGCGTACAAAAGTTTACGACGATTTAGTTCCACCCGTATCAGTTTGGGAGTCCGTAGGGCATAACGTCACAGTTTCAGTCTTGCCCTCATAAAGATTTAAAAAGTTATGTGCCAATCTAATCTAGTACTGGGGTTAATGAGGTCAGTAAAATGTTTTTGATTAACTAAATGTTAAAATGTGTTTTCAAGAGAATACGGATAACGATTTGTATTTTCAGTTTTTGATTTTGTGTTTAAATGAAAAATGGAAAAAAAACTGCTAATTCCCGTTTATGTGACGTCCGTGACTGAGATGTCGGACTTTTGCACTGCATACGGACTGAACCAGGACTGATCCAGGTCCGGGACCAGACCGGGACTGAGATCAATACTGAAACCGGGACCAGACCGAGACTGAGACCGAGACCAGACCAGGACCAGACCAGAACCAGGCCAGGACCAGACTGGGACTGAGACCGGAACTGATACCGGGACCAGGCCGGGACTAGACCGGGACTAGACCGGGACTAGACCGGGACTAGACCGGGACTAGACCGGGACTAGACCGGACACTCAGAGCCCATGGCAGGGCCGGAACTCGAAGCTGAGGCTCGGACCCTGCGGAGGCTTGGAGTCAAAGCTCGGAGTCCGCTCTGGTCCCGTTCTGGTCCCGGTCTGTCCCGTTCTGGTCCTGGACCTGGATCAGTCCTGGTTCAGTCCGTATGCAGTGCAAAAGTCCGACATCGCGGGAAGTCACGGGAAACGGTCGTTATCCCTTTTTTCCATTTTTCATTTAAACACAAAATCGAAAACTGAAAAAACTAATTATTATCTGTTTTTTCATTTTGGTTTTGGAGACAAATAACGAAGAAAACAGTTGTTTTTTCTTTTTCTTATTTTTGGTTTTATATTGAAAAACGAATGAACGATTTGATCCACAGATTCAAGAGCCTCTGTTCCTGTTCTGGTGTGACTCAGTGTTGTGTTTTGTTGTTTTGTTGTGTTGCAGTCGGGTCTGGTGCACTGTGACACGGCCGTGGGCACTCCGGACTACATCTCCCCCGAGGTGCTGCAGTCTCAGGGGGGAGACGGTCTGTACGGGCGGGAGTGTGACTGGTGGGCTGTGGGCGTCTTCCTCTACGAGCTGCTGGTCGGTACGTACACCCCCCGGTCTCCCTGTACACTGTGTGAAGGAGAAAACAGAAGTGTGCGCTGGTTTGTGTCTCATGAGCTCATGTGTTGTGTTTTGTATGAGGCTGTTGTTGTGTAATAGTTTTATCAGTGTTTCCAGGGCAGGGCTCCGCTCACAATCACACTCAAAGTTATGACTCTTATAGTCGCTGTTATACGGGCACAGTTTTTATTAGTTTACAAAGTATTTATTAGAGGTGTAACTGTACATATATTCGGTACTGGACGTTTGGTTGAGTGAGTTTGTGCAGTTTGTGTGTGTTTACATTGGGCTGTAATGTTTTAATCTCACCTCAAAACTTGCTGAGAAAAGTCCTCAACTTGTATCCAGTCTGGTGCCACCAAGTGCCGCCGCTCAGTTTCATTTCTCTCCAGCGACTAGATCAGGAATCAGAAAACACTAGACGATCCGCAAAAACCCAGAAAGTGCGAGTTTGAGCAACAGCCAATCAGAGAAGAGTCAGACATTCTGTTTTGGCAACGATTCCCGAGATCGAGGATTTAAAACCGGAACAAAGAAAATGTTTGGTGAATTTTATCAAGGGGAAAAACATTATTGTCTGAGGCCTGAGGGAGGCCGGGACTGAGACCAGGACTGAGGCCAGGACTGAGGCCGGGACTGAGACCAGGACTGAAGCCAGGACTGAGGCTGGGACTGAGGACCAGGACTGAGGCCGGGACTGAGACCAGGGACTGAAGCCGGGACTGAAGCCGGGACTGAGCCGGGACTGAAGCCGGGACTGAGGCCGGGACTGAGGCCGGGGACTGAGGCCGGGACTGAGGCCGGGACTGAGGGCCGGGACCAAGATCAAGACCGGGACAGAGACCGAGGCTAAGACCGAGACCGAGGCTAAGACTGGGACTAGAGTGGGACTGAGATCACGACCGGGACCAAGACCAGATCAGAACTGAGACCGGGACTGAGACCGAGTCTGGGACCTGACCAGATCGGGACCAGATCGAGACCGGAACCAGACCGAGACTGGGACCAGACCGAGACCGGTTCAGTCCTGGATTAGTCCTGGTTCAGTCCTGTTTTAGTCCTATTTTAGTCCTGGTTTAGTCCTGGTTTAGTCCTGTTTTAGTCCTGGTTCAGTCCTGGTTCAGTCCTGTTTTAGTCCTATTTTAGTCCTGGTTTAGTCCTGGTTTAGTCCTGGGTCAGTCCTGGGTCAGTCATGGTCAGTCCTGTTTTAGTCCTATTTAGTCCTGGATTAGTCCTGGTTTAGTCCTGTTTTAGTCCTGGGTCAGTCCTGGGTCAGTCCTGGGTCAGTCCTGGGTCAGTCCTGTTTTTAGTCCTATTTTAGTCCTGGTTTAGTCCTGGTTTAGTCCTGTTTTAGTCCTGGGTCAGTCCTGGTCAGTCCTGGGTCAGTCCTGGTTCAGTCCTGTTTTAGTCCTATTTTAGTCCTGTTTAGTCCTGGTTTAGTCCTGGGTCAGTCCTGGGTCAGTCCTGGGTTTCAGTCAGGGTCAGTCCTGTTTTAGTCCTATTTTAGTCCTGGTTTAGTCCTGGTTTAGTCCTGTTTTAGTCCTGGGTCAGTCCTGGGTCAGTCCTGGGTCAGTCCGGCATCACAGTTTAAAGTCACGGACACACGGAAGTCACTTTATGCATTTTTTCCATTTTTCATTTAAACACAAAATCGAAAACTGAATATTTTCATTTTGTTTTTGGAGACAAATAATGAAGAAAATAGTTTTTTTTTTCGTTTTCTTATTTTTGGTTTTCTTTTGAAAAACAAATGAACGAACGACACACGGATTAAAACGCAGCCGTACACCGAGGAAAAAAACCACACAGTCTGCTGACAGAATATAAGAATAAGAATAAACAGAATAATATAATGTAAATGTGTTTGTAGAACTTCTTGTGCCTCCTGTAAATCGGCCTTTCTCCTCGTGTGACAGGTGAGACTCCGTTCTACGCCGAGTCTCTGGTGGGGACATACGGGAAGATCATGAACCACAAGAACTCTCTGTGTTTCCCTGACGACGTGGAGATGTCTGCGGAGGTCAAACAGCTCATCTGCGCCTTCCTCACGGACAGGTGAACACGCACACTTTACTCACTTTACTCACGTTTCTCTTTTCCCGAGCTTAACACACAGGATTAAATAAGCTTTAAACAACGAGGAGCTGCGCGTTAATGCAGATTTAACACACGACGCAGAGTCCGTTAAAACTGCAGAACACACAGCAAGTTTTTTAACGCGCTTATACCACGACTACAAACTGAAACGTCTCAACTGTGAATCTGAAAAGCCTGTTCCGTGTCTGTAAATGTGTCAGATTACTTTATTTGATGTCATGGCGATGGCCGCAGAGCAGTTTTATAAAACAGTGATTTTAATTTAATTTTCATTCCCGCTCCCGCCCGCATCTGCAATATTTTGGGCTAAGTCTGGGCTCGTCTCCCAAAATCTGGTCCAGTTGTTGGTAAAATGTTCAGGTCACACGTCCACGGCCGCTTCGTTTGTTTGAGTCTTTATCCTCCTTGTATTTGACTCACAGGCTCTTTATTTTTCTTTCGACGTTGGAGCCAGGACCGACTGTAGCCGCGCTCGGACATTTCTTTGGCAAACATTTCAGAAACCACCCAGTTCCTATAAGACCCCTCCAATTTGTCCTGAAAACAGCGACCCCCCCAAATATTAATAAACTCTTTAACCTCACTTTTCCTCCATTGACAAGACTCTGAGCCTGACGTGTAGGTGGATGAAGTCACATGTCAAAAGATCAGATATGTATCAGTTTCAGGAGCACATATCCAAGTGTCACATTTGAAAAAATCAGATCTGTGTCGTTCAGTCATTAATAGATCAGATACAGGTCACATAGGGGCCAAAAAATCTGATTTGGGTCACTTCAGGCCAAAGTCTGAACGTCGCCTTATTTACACATTCTTTATTTGAGAAGAATTTTAGTTAAATTAAATTTTACACTGACCCAGAGCATCGCTGACTGATCTGTGAAACTCTCTTAGCTCTACACTTATGTGGAACAGAGACTAAAAACAGATGAATGTCACGATGAAGATCTGACTGTGATTGGTGGAAGCATCATATCGTGCACTTCCTCACTCTTCTTCACTCTTCCTCACACTGTCTCACTCTTCCTCACACTGTCTCACTCTTCTTCACACTGTCTCACTCTTCCTCACTCTTCCTCACTCTTCCTCACACTGTCTCACTCTTCACTCTTCTTCACTTTCTCACTCTTCCTCACACTGTCTCACTCTTCCTCACACTGTCTCACTCTTCCTCACTCTTCTTCACTTTCTCACTCTTCCTCACACTTCCTCACTCTTCCTCACACTGTCTCACTCTTCTCACTCTCCTCACTCTTCTTCTCACTCTTCCTCATACTGTCTCACTCTTCTCACTCTTCTCACTCTTCCTCACACTTCCTCACTCTTCTTCACTTTCTCACTCTTCCTCACACTTCCTCACTCTTCCTCACACTGTCTCACTCTTCCTCACTCTTCCTCATACTGTCTCACTCTTCCTCACTCTTCTTCACTTTCTCACTCTTCCTCACACTGTCTCACTCTTCCTCACCCTTCTTCACTTTCTCACTCTTCCTCACACTTCCTCACACTGTCTCACTCTTCCTCACTCTTCTTCACTTTCTCACTCTTCCTCACACTTCCTCACACTGCGCACTCTTCCTCACACTGTCTCACTCTTCCTCACTCTTCCTCACTCTTCCTCACTCTTCCTCACTCTTCCTCACTCTTCCTCACACTGTCTCACTCTTCCTCACTCTTCTTCACTTTCTCACTCTTCCTCACACTTCCTCACTCTTCCTCACACTGTCTCACTCTTCCTCACACTTCCTCACTCTTCCTCACACTTCCTCACTCTTCCTCACACTGTCTCACTCTTTCCTCACTCTTCCTCACTCTTTCTCACTCTTCCTCACTCTTCCTCACACTGTCTCACTCTTCCTCACACTGTCTCACTCTTCCTCACTCTTCCTCACTCTTCCTCACTCTTCCTCACTCTTCCTCACTCTTCCTCACACTGTCTCACTCTTCCTCACTCTTCTCACTCTTCCTCACTCTTCCTCACCCTTCCTCATGCTGTAAAAGTCCTTATATTTAGATGTTTACAGCACACAGACTGATCTGACATGGGGAAAAACTGAATCTTTAAACTGTGCATTTTATAAACTGTGAAAACTGAGCTCAGCAAACACCAGAGTTACTCTCTTTAGTTTTATACATTTTTGAATGAATGAATGAATGAATATTTGTATTTAAGGGAGCCCACTTTGATATGACCCTTTTATCAGTGTAAATAGAAACGTCCGTCATCATAACGACATAATCACAGTCAGACTCAGTCACACGTCTTTTTGTTGTAGTATTTGTTTTCTTTCCTGGTTTGGGGACTTTCACGTCTTTATTTTGAAATATGGAATTTAAAATATGTCGTAAGTGAACAGTTTAAACTCTGTTCTTCTAAAATGAAGTGAAGTTTACTACAGAGTATCATTACATGTGTTTAGTTCGCGCTGTAACGTCCCTTTTGTTTGATTATAGCTTCATGGAGGAATGCGGCTCAGTCCGACACTTACACACAGTATTTTTAAACTCATGGCTGTAACTGCAGTACTACTACACAAGTATGCAGAGTATCCGTTAGATGCAGTATTTTTATCCTCCGATTTGCAGTACCTCGTATTTATGGGAGCTGGGCTTTGTTTGTGGCCTGAGCTCGAAATTACAGTTTTCACTGAGAGTCGTGTGAAGAACATGTCTCCAAAGTCTGAACGCACACACACACACACACACACACACACACACACACACACACACACACACACATACACACACACACACACACACACACACACACACACACACACACACACACACACACACACACACACACACACATACACACCAACACACACACACACACATACACTACATACACACACACATACACACATAATACATACACACACACACACACATATACACACCCACACACACACACACGCACACACACATGCACACACACACACCCCAACACACACACACATAATACATACACACACGCACACACGCACACACACACGCACACACACACGCACACATACACACATAATACACACACACACATACACACACACACAATACACACACACACACACACACACACACACATACATACACACACACACACACACACACACACAGCACACACACACACATAATACACACACACGCACACACACACACAATACACACACACACACACACGCACACACACATAATACATACACACACACACTTACACGCACACACACTCATAATGCACACACGCACACACACACACGCACACACACACACACACACACATAATGCACACACACGCATGCACAAACACGCACACACACAGACTCACATGCTCACATACACATAATACACACACGCACACACACAATGCACACACGCACACACATAATACACACATACACACACACACTCACAGACACACACGCACACGTGTGTATTTCTACACGTGTGTATTTCTACATCATACTCTGAGGAGAGAGTGATGAGGAGAGCAGGTTTATACTTACAGTATATATGTTTTTACATATCACACTCTGCCTATGCACAGATGTGTGTATTGTACATATTAAGGGGGTCCAAACTTTTTTTTTAGATTCTTTAGAATATTATTTGCATATCTGGTTTTAATTTATTTTAAGTTTCTTTATTAAGTCATTTTAAATCAATATGGTGATTTAAAAAAGATGCAAATACCAAATCGACCTGTCAAAGTCTGATCTCGTCAGATCTCAGCAGCTCAGCAGCTCAGCAGGTCTGGGTTCTGGTCTGGACTTTGTGGTCACTGTGTCCTTAGGCAAGACATTTCATCCACATAGTCTTGTATGAAAGTGTTGTGTGTGTGAGTGTTGGTGGTGGTCGTAGGGGCTGATGGTGCAGATTGGCAGCATCACTTCTGTCAGTCTGCCCCAGGGCAGCTGTGACTACAGTAGTAGTTTACCACTGGGTGTGGAGTGAATAAATAAAGCTATGTAAAGCGTCTTCAAGTGTCCAGAAGAGTGCTGCATAAAACTGATGCATTATTATTATTATTATTATTATTATTATTATTATTATTATTATTATTATTATCAAATAATAATGTGATGATCCACAGTGTCACAGATTATAAGCACAGAGCACAAACAGACACTAAAATCACTTTTTTTACTCATTCTCTCTCATAGACGTGTGTCTCTGTCCCTGGACTTTTCTACAGCATTTTACTGCAGATTTGTTAAAAAACAGACTTTTGGGTACTGCAGTGTACTTTTACTCCACAGTACTGCAGTGTACTTTTACTCCACAGTACTCCGGTGTACTTTTACTCCACAGTACTGCGGTGTACTTTTACTCCACAGTACTGCGGTGTACTTTTACTCCACAGTACTGCGGTGTACTTTTACTCCACAGTACTCCAGTGTACTTTTACTCCACAGTACTGAAGTGTACTTTACTCCACAGTACTCGGTGTACTTTTGTCCACAGTACTGTACTTTTACTCCACAGTACTGCGGTGTACTTTTACTCCACAGTACTCCAGTGTACTTTTACTCCACAGTACTGCGGTGTACTTTTACTCCACAGTACTCCAATGTACTTTTACTCCACAGTACTCCAGAGTACTTTTACTCCACAGTACTGTGTACTTTTACTCCACACAGTACTCAATGTACTTTTACTCCACAGTACTGGTACTTTTTACTCCACAGTACTGCGGTGTACTTTTACTCCACAGTACTGCGGTGTACTTTACTCCACAGTACTGCGGTGTACTTTTACTCCACAGTACTCCAATGTACTTTTACTCCACAGTACTGCGGTGTACTTTTACTCCACAGTACTTGTACTTTTACTCCACAGTACTGCGGTGTACTTTTACTCCACAGTACTGCGGTGTACTTTTACTCCACAGTACTGTACTTTTACTCCACAGTACTGCGGTGTACTTTTACTCCACAGTACTGCAGTGTACTTTTACTCCACAGTACTGCAATGTACTTTTACTCCACAGTACTGCAATGTACTTTTACTCCACAGTACTGCAGTGTACTTTTACTCCACAGTACTGCAGTGTACTTTTACTCCACAGTACTGCAGTGTACTTTTACTCCACAGTACTGCAGTGTACTTTTACTCCACAGTACTGCAGTGTACTTTCAGGTGCTGCAGTTTGCACACGACACGTGAGAGCACTTCCTGTTTACATTATAAGCCCCGCCCCCTGAGCTCTGACACACTGGCTCCATTCTCCTGCACAGAGACTCTTTCACTCTCTCCTCCTCCTCCTCCTCTTCTTCTCTCACCTGCTCTACCTCTTTCCCTCTTCCTCTCTCTTTCTCTCTCTCCTCTCCTTCCTTCTCTTTCTCTCACCTGCTCTCCCTTTTTCCCTCCCTCCCTCTTTCTCTCACCTGCTCTACCTCTTTCCCTCTTCTTCTCTCTTTCTCTCTCTCTCCTCCTCGCTTTCTCACCTGCTCTACCTCTTTCCTTCTCTCCTCTTCTCTCTCCTCCTCTTTCTCTCTTCCTCTCTCTCACCTGCTCTCCCTCCTTCCCTCTTCTTCTCTTTCTCCCTCATACTCTATCTCTTCCCCCCTCTTCCTCTCTTTCCTCCTCTCTATTCTTCTCTCTCTCTCCCTCATGTTTCAGCTCTTTCTCTCTCTCGCTCTCTCTCTTCCTCTTTTTCCTCCTCTCCTCTTCCTCTCTCTCTCCTTCTCTCTCCCCCGCATGTGCTATCTCTTTCTCTCTCTTTTGCTCTCTTCCTCTTTTTCCTCCTCTCCTCTTCCCCCCTCTCTCCTTCTCTCCCTCCCTCCCTCATGCTCTGTCTCTTTCTCCCTCTTGCTGTGTCTCTTCCTCTTTCCTCTTCTCTCTCCTTTTCTCTTTCTCCTCTCTCTCTCTCTCCTCCTCTCTCCCTCCTTCCCTCTTCCTCTCTTTCCTCCTCTTCTCTTTCTATGTCCCGCTCTCTCTCTCTTTGCCTCTCTCCCTCCTCTTCTTGATCTCCCCCTCTCTTTCTCTCTCCCTCTTCTTCTCTTTCCCCACCACTTTCCTTCTCTCTTTCTATTCTCTGGCCCTGTTTCCTCCTCTCTCTACTTTTCTCTCTTTCTCTCTCTCTCCTCCTCTCTCCCTCCCTTCATGCTCTCTCTCCTTCCCTCTTCCTCTCTTTCCTCCTCCTCTCTGCTCTCTCTCTTTCTCTCTCTCCCTTGCTTCTTTCTCACCCACCT